GGGGGGGAGGGGGGGGGGGGTGTTACGTGGACGTCCTCTACTCTGCTATCATGGGTGGTACTTTTAAAATAGGCTCATCACTACTGTAGTCGCTGTAGCTATACAATGACTCTCGGCTCGTCTGAAATTCATCTGTTTCCTCGGAGCCACAAGCCCCGTCAGTCTGCAGCCCTCCATCTTCCATCGTACTGTTCCTGTGAAGACGAGGACGGGGCAGCTGTTTTGACGCGAAATGGAGCTGTTGCTGGTCTGTTTCGAGTACAGAAGCAGACGCGGCCGTGTCGAGGGAAGATCCTGCATTTCCGGACACAAAAGGTCTTCTTTTCTGTTTCTTTATGTGGAGTTTCACACTTCTTGGAGGGATGGTTAAAACCTTTTCCGCTACGGTATTGGCGCCGGGGCTCGATTGATTATCAAACCCAGCAGGCGGGTTGATATTGTTGGTGAATCCGTTGTACGGAATCTGAATCTGGTTTCCACGAACTTTCCTGTAAATCCACCAAATCAGGAAAGCAATCGTAGCCAAACCAAAACATGGAACAACGTATTTTCCCGCCTTAGACCCTTCGCTACCAATAAGCTTACTGTGCAAGTTTTCAGGTATTTTTTTAAACCACAACAGACTTGATAAAAACGTCAGGCTTGCCATAATCCCAGTCATAATCAACAGCACACAAGCGGGTATTCGTCGAGCATAGCAGTTACACCCCCAACAACAGCAATCCATCGAGCAGTGGTTTTCAGTGTTCCTTACTTCGCCAGATGGACTGCACGGAACACTAAGAGATTCCAGGCCCGATGAATCATACCTATGAAGAGGAAGTGGTTCACGTCGATTCTCTACAAGTACTGCAGGAGGCTCACAGTAAACAAACGACTCACCACTGGACTGAATATCATACTCTGGATCATAGTTGGTGCGAATGAAAGTCCTGACTTTCTTGATGATGTCTCTTCTCTTTGGTTTCATCGCTTTTACGATCTCCTCGAGATTTCGAGCCTTTTCTTGATCATCGCCAATAACATTTCGATGCTTCAAGATTCGGAAGACATCAAGGCCATTTTCGATTTCTTCCCGTTCGCTTTCAGGAATATAAGGTTCGCAGATGTGGACGAGGCTGTGTAGATTTCGTGGACTCAAATCGTTGCTTATTGAGTTTAGAAGAATATTGAACGGCGGAATCACGGACATTTCTAAGCCTTTTAAACAGATTCTCCCACAAACTGAATATACTTTCGTTTTGATTTCTGATGCAATTTATATAGCATTCTTATATTTTGCCTGTCTGGGGCAACAGAGAAATATAAGACCTTTCAAGTACCCCAACAGACGCAAAAACAAACTAATTTTTAAAAAAATCATCATACTCTAAAAGACCTCAAATTATTTATCAAAATATAATTCAAAGTTCGTATCTTTGATTCTCATGTATTTTTAGCATCATTTTCTAGTAAAACTTTAGAAATTACGAGAACGAAAATCAGTTTGTTTTTACCTCCTCCCCCCTAGGGAATACTATTAGTCTTCTGTGACTTTGATTCTTGGAATCAGGGGATTCCCCTCGTGTCTTGGACCATGTCTCATGGAAGCAAACTTCGATTCGTGTTAAGACCGCTTAAAATTGTTAGTGTAATTAAATCACAATCGTAAATTAAAAGTCGTAGCTTTGATTCTTATAGTTCTTTTAACATATATTTCCAGTTAAACTAGAAATTATGAACGAAAACCTTTGTCCTTCCCCGTTTGAAATAGTCTTGAAAATAGTCTCGTGTGACTTGAAATTATTGGAGTTAGGGGATTTCCCTTGTGACTTTGTGCCTTTGTAGTTTAACTACATTATTATCTTATGAATAGTCTTTATCGATTCGGGTTTTTTTTACTGTTTAATAGACCTTTCCCGAATTCGCTTGGATGACCACAAAACAATCGTTTGAAGTCGCGACTGAACTTGGTTCTTTTATTCATCAAGTTCAACCTCGACTTCAAACCATTGTTTCGTGATCAGTCAAGCGAATTCGGGAAAGGCCTATTGTAGCGATGTTTTGTTTCATCTTGGTTAGATCCAAGCCCTTCAACATAATTCTTCATGTAAGTTTGAAAGCAGAATACAAATATTAATATAAACACCATTTTAATTGAATATAAATCGGTTATAATGGCTAATGATGATACATATGCATTCTTGATACTACAACATGTCATACAACACTCCTAAACTAAATATACATCATACAATATCATGAATTCTTTGTAGGCCTCTTGTGATCAAGAGCCACCCTTTTGCTACTAGGGGGATAGGGATGGGTCAAAAGACAGGGATTAATGCTGGAATAAAGAGGATGGTGAGAATGGGTACATAGGTATGTCAGTAGTTTGAACTTGGTTCATTGTCGTGTGAGGGACATAATGCTGGGGGTCTATTTGAGAGGTTAAAATAGTGTGCATATGGGGCAATATTGTTGAGGAGCTGGAGATACTACTAGTGGTGACTGATGTTATTGGTGCCAACGCACTGGATGTTGTAATTTGAGGCATGGCAGTGGGTGGGACAACTGTCATGAAGGAACCTATTGGAGATGGTACAAAAACAGGGGCCAGCTGAGTATGTGGCTCCATATTCTGTTGCATTTGGGACATTACAGCAGGGACCGTTACAGTGGAGTTAACAGGGGACATGGATGTCATGATGATTGAGGCTCTGGTGAATGAGGGACCTATATTGGAGATGGCTGAGTTGAGAGGAGAAATATAGAACCCTGGGGTGGGTGTATTCAATGGGGTAAACCCTCTGTTATTGGCGAAGCTTTGATCAGAGGTGATAGAAGTAAGGATAGATGCAATCGCAGTCTCTTCTCTTCTCATCACTTCTGCATCATTCTGACTGTTGCTATTGTTGTCACCTTCCTCTACCTCGCTTTCATGATTCACACTGTTCTCATTGCTTTCATTTGGTTGACTAGCTTCTTTTGACATCATAGCCTCGTTTTCATTCCTTGCCTCGCTTAGTTCACCCACTTCATTTTCAACCGTCGCCTCATCTTTTTGCCCCTTGGCTTTTTTCTTACTCACGCGCTTGCGTTTCGGAACTGTACCGCTGACTGGATCGTGCCACCTCTTCAAATGTTTCTTTAAGTTTCCAAGTTGAGAAAATGCTGTTTGGCATGTATCACATTTGAATGGTTTGGTGCCTGAATGAGTTCTGCAGTGCATTGCAAGACTGCTCGGGCAGGCGAAGGCTTTGCCACACAAACTACAGAAAAAATTCTTCTGTCGAGGCTTGTCTTTTGGTCTTTTGACTTTATTGTGAACGTACCTAGACGGTCAACAAAACAGATAATGTTGTGAGGGGATTAAAGGAGAGATTAGCTAACGAAGAAATCATTCAAGACAAATCTTTGGACTGAGTCGGTCGTAAAAAATCTGAGGAAACACTAAGAATGGTGCTGTCCACTATGATGGGACACCACGGGTTATTACTGCTATCACTGCGTGATGGGA